AAACCTGGACTCTGCCTTACAAGAAAACCGGCAAAGAGGTCTGCCCAGATAATGACGAAATTTGGGAGGCCAGGAGGTAGGATATGGTCACCTGTCGTGAGCTATATACACTATTAGGCATTGAGGGCTGGTTTGTCAGAGCATTGTTTAGAGTATATTAAGACGCTCTACAATAGGATCTGTAGCTGGTTAGCCGGGGGTATAGGATCCTAACCCTAACCCTAACCCTAACCCTAACCCTAACCCTAACCCTAACCCTAACCCTAACCCTAACCCTAACCCTAACCCTAACCCTAACCCTAACCCTAACCCTAACCTAACCCTAACCCTAACCCTAACCCTAACCCTAACCCTAATACTAGAGTAGATTAGCTTAAATAGGAGAATATACTTAACCTAACCCTAAAGCTCGTATATAATAATTAATAATAATTAATTATATAATAATATATTAATATAGACCCGCTTAGTAAAAACCGTATCTATATTTAATAGGGGTTCGCTTTAGTAGGATAATCTACTCGATTACCTTTAGCCTACTACTTAGGGTCTACTAAGCTAGGGGGCTAGCTAGGTAGTAAGGGTCTTAAAAGAACGTATATATAGGCTATAGAGGGCCCCCTAAACTATAGAGGGCTAGAATTCAGATATATTCCTATCCTATACCTATATTCTAACCACCTACGGACCCTATAGAAGACCTCTTAACTCTACTCTAAACAATGCTCTGACAAACCAGCCCTCAACCCCTAATAGTGTATATAGCTCACGACAGGTGACCATATCCTACCTCCGGGGCCTCCCAAATTTCGTCATTATCTGGCCAGACCTCTTTGCCGTTTTTCTTTAAGGTAGAGTCAGGTTTCTCAGGGGCATGAGTGGCCTCCCTGAACTCTAGGGTTTTTGCGTTGTTCACATAGCCGTGACACGATACATGTGTCTCGCGCCCAAGGTGATCGATCGACTTGTAGCTGAAAGTGACATGTTCGCCCTTGGGGTCTTTCTGACGCCTGCCGTTGATCGTAGTCGTGTTGTGAACTTCGCTCCTGTTCGATGTCAGCTGCAAGGAACGCGAAGTGGCTGGCTTCCTTTCGCGGACCTTATGAAAACCGCCTTGGGGTAGAGCTCCCGGTCTCTGGCAGTCTGGTATGCCAGCGCAACGAGTTGGCGCATTCTGGTGTCCGTCGGTCTGTTCAATCTAAAGAAGTAGTACTTGACGACGTTGATGGTGGACATGTTGGTGGCCGATGTGCGGCTGAGAGTTTTTGATTGTGAGACGGCGGGAGATACTTGACGACAAATTGATACAGTAGGGAGATTCTGTGTATGTTATGTCCAGTACTCTTCTCCTGCGCCTGCGCCGTTTCTTCGGCCTCGCCTTGCTGTGTAATATCAAGTAACCCATCTTCAGGCGCGTCTTGTAACGCTGGTAGGTCGCATTTCTCACCCTCACCTGTTCTTGGTTTATTTTTGGCAGCTTTTTGACTCCATATCCCTTACACGTTGGCCCCGCGACGAGACCGACATTGCACGGCCAATCTTCGGGTGCCTCGCGCCCGTCACAAGTGCCTACTAATGCTGAA